GCGGCGTCTGTGGCGGCCAAGAATTTGGCCTTGCTCAAAGCCCGCTCCTTCGACGTGACCTTTGACGTGGGGGACGAGTACGAGATCATCGAGACCATAGGCAATGGGGCCTACGGGGTGGTGTCCTCGGCGCGCCGCCGCCTCACGGGTGAGCTGGCTTCCTGAGGCTCGGCATGTGTGGACTGGTTTCCAGAGGCCCCAGGAGGATCAACCGCGCCAGGGATTTGGTTCCAGTCAGCACCCACCGATTAAGTGCCAGCTCCCTGTTAGACACAGTTCTCAGGAACTCTGCGTCTGCTAGCCAGCCTACCTCCTCCTTAGGAAAATGGCAATCCCAGTAGGCCAGAATGGCGAATCCGTTCTTGGCGTCCAGAAGAGATGTGTTCTATAGCCAGACACTGGTGCAAGGCCTTGGTGGTGGGATGAGGGAGATCTGGGATGAGAGGGTGAGGAGAGAGCATGAGCTCAGGCACAATAGTCAACACAACAGCTATGTCTCCTCTACCTGAGCTACCCTACCCCTAGGGTAGGGCATGAAAGGAAAAGATATGTCACACACAAGGCTTGGCACATAGTAGGTACCTGGTACATGGTAGCTGTTGTTACTTGCGTCCTAGAAGGGCAGTGCTGAAAGGGCCCTGCAGCTACTCCAAGGTACCCTCTAGTATCTGCCTTTTCCCTGCTCTCCAGGCCAGCAGGTGGCCATCAAGAAGATTCCCAATGCTTTTGACGTGGTGACCAATGCCAAACGGACCCTCAGGGAACTGAAGATCCTCAAACACTTCAAACACGACAATATCATCGCCATCAAGGACATCCTGAGGCCCACTGTGCCCTATGGAGAGTTCAAATCTGTGTAAGGAGACATGGTTGGGACCAGTACTGCAGGATAGGACCATATTGCTAAAGTTATGGAAGGATAGCTGAACTTAACATTAGACCGACTGGGAAAAGGCCCATGGACATTGCTAGGGACAGCTGTTATTTTTCAAGAAGAGTGTAAAGGGATGTAGCTCAGTGATGAAGTGTTTGACTGGTATCTTCGAGGTCTTGGGTTCAGTCTTCAGTATGGAAAAAAAAGATGTATTTTTAAAGATTTTTATTATTTGTGTGCATGTGTGTGAATGTATGCCACTTGTGTGCATGCCTGTAGAGGCCAAAAGAGGGCATTGGATCCCCTGGTCTTAGAGTTATAGGTGTTTGTGAGCTGACAGATGTGGGTGCTGGGGACCAAATCCAGGTCCTCTAGAAGGGCAGTAAGGGTTCTTATGTGCTGAGCCATTTCTCTAGCCCCAAGAGGATACATTGCTTGAACTGGGCATAATATGCCATCCTTGACTATGTAGTAAGTTCAAGGCCAGCCTAGGCTACATGAGACCCTATCTCAGAAAACAAAAAACACAGTGAAAAAGAGAAACGGACAGAACAGGTCCAGATTGTATAAGATGCCAGGCACAGGACCTTTATAGTGTCATGGCATCATCTTATAGCCAAAGCAGGTATGATATCACTTTGATCACAGAGTACTTATATTTTAAATAGCAAATTGATAAGTCTTCACAATTTTTATCATAGCATTTCAGTAGACTACTGCCAAACAATGGAGTTAGCTCCCAAACTAAGCCTAATGGCCAATTCCGGTATAGTTGAACCCCGGTTTTTATCTGACAAGGAAATTAGGTCAGTGGACAAAAGTGATTTGTCAAAAAGTTTTTAAAAATCTAGGCTGGGCGTGCTGGTGCACACCTTTAATTCCAGCACTCAGATCCCTGAAATTCAGGCCAGCCTGGCCTACATAGTGAGTTGCAGCCCCACTGGGGCTGCAGGGAGGGAGACCCTGTCTCAAAAAGACAAAAAAAAAAAAAGAGAAAAGAAATCTAGAACCTGGTGCTGTTCCTCCATGCCATGCTTTTAGTCCTTTGAGGTTTCAGGTAAGGCCATTACCTGTAGAGCTGAGGGGGACTGGTGAGGGATAGAGCTTGTTGCTGTAGTGTGGGTAGGCCACCTCATACTTCTCCTCCCATTTCCAGCTATGTGGTACTGGATCTCATGGAGAGTGACCTGCACCAGATCATCCACTCCTCACAGCCGCTCACCCTGGAGCATGTGCGATACTTCCTGTACCAGCTGCTGCGGGGCCTGAAGTACATGCACTCTGCTCAGGTCATCCACCGTGACCTCAAACCCTCTAACCTGCTGGTGAATGAGAACTGTGAGCTCAAGATTGGCGACTTTGGTATGGCCCGTGGCCTGTGTACCTCCCCTGCTGAACATCAGTACTTCATGACCGAGTATGTGGCCACTCGCTGGTACCGTGCCCCTGAACTCATGCTTTCTTTGCATGAGTACACGCAGGCTATTGATCTCTGGTCTGTGGGCTGCATCTTTGGAGAGATGCTGGCTCGGCGCCAGCTCTTCCCAGGCAAAAACTATGTACACCAGCTGCAACTAATCATGATGGTGTTAGGGACCCCATCACCAGCTGTGATTCAGGCTGTGGGGGCTGAAAGGGTGCGGGCATATATCCAGAGCCTGCCACCACGGCAGCCTGTGCCCTGGGAGACAGTGTACCCAGGTGCTGACCGCCAGGCCCTCTCACTCCTGGGTCGCATGCTGCGTTTTGAACCCAGTGCCCGCATTTCAGCAGCTGCTGCCCTTCGCCACCCTTTCTTGGCTAAGTACCATGACCCTGATGATGAACCTGATTGTGCCCCACCCTTTGACTTTGCCTTTGACCGTGAAGCCCTCACCAGGGAGCGCATTAAGGAGGCCATTGTGGCTGAGATTGAGGACTTCCATGCTCGAAGGGAGGGCATCCGCCAACAAATCCGCTTCCAGCCTTCTCTGCAGCCTGTGGCTAGTGAGCCTGTGTGTCCAGATGTTGAGATGCCTAGTCCCTGGGCTCCCAGTGGGGACTGTGCCATGGAGTCACCCCCTCCAGCCCCACCACTGTGCTCCGGCCCTGCACCTGACACTGTTGATCTGACCCTGCAGCCTGCCCCACCAGCCAGTGAGCCTACCCCACCAAAGAGAGAGGGTGCCATCTCTGACAACACCAAGGCTGCCCTCAAAGCTGCCCTGCTGAAGTCCTTGAGGAGCCGGCTCAGAGGTACTGTGTGGGTGCAGCAGCTGGCTGGGGAGTGGAGTGGTAGACAGGGACTCTGGCTTGGATGGGATTGCAGGCCCTTACCAAACTACCCCTGTCCAACTGCCCTGCAGATGGCCCTAGTGCACCCTTGGAGGCTCCTGAGCCTCGGAAGCCTGTGACAGCCCAGGAACGCCAGAGAGAACGAGAAGAGAAGCGTAGGAGGCGGCAAGAGAGAGCCAAGGAGCGGGAGAAGCGACGACAGGAGCGGGAGCGCAAAGAGAGGGGGGCTGGTGCCTTGGGGGGCCCCTCTACTGACCCCCTGGCTGGACTGGTACTTAGTGACAATGACCGAAGCCTGCTAGAGCGCTGGACTCGCATGGCTCGACCTCCAGCCCCTGCCCTGGCCCCCGCCCCAGCCCCAACGCCTTCCCCTGCTCAGCCCATTAGTCCTCCCACTGGCTCTGGAGCTCAGTCCACTGGTCCTCCTCTGCAACCTACAGGCTCTACTCCTAGTCCTGCCCCCCAGCCTGTCTGCCCACCCTCTGGTCCTACTTCTCATCCTGCTGGTCCTCCTGGACCTATTCCTGTCCCTGTCCCACTCCAAACTGTCCCTTCTACTAGCCTTCTGGCCCCCCAGTCACTTGTGCCAGCTCCTGGGTTGCATGGCCCCAGTGTCCCAGAAGTTCTGCCTTACTTCCCACCTGGTCCACTGCCTCCAGATCCTGGGGTCCCACCTCAGCCTTCTACATCAGAATCACCTGATGTCAATCTGGTGACCCACCAACTGTCCAAGTCTCAGGTGAGGAAAAAAACACAGGCCTGGAGATACTCTGATCTGGGCCCAGGGAAAGTGGGTTTGGGAAATGGTCTTTGTTCGATGAAAACAAATCAGCAAATGGAGCTTTATCTCTCTGAACCTGTCCTCTTGCTCATAGAAGGAACCTAATGTCAATGAAGAGGTTGTTGGGAGACAGAGACAGCTCCTGGAAAGTTCCTGGCCTGGAGATGGGTCCAAGCCCTGGCCCAGGCTAGCACTTGATGGATTGTGAGATTAGTGTCCGTGTCTGAGGTTATCTGGACAGAGTGGTCAGCAGTGTCAGGGTGTGCCCTGCTAACCCTCAGTCTGTCCTTCCTGGCACCTGTGTTGTAACTTGCCACTGTCCCCTGCAGGTGGAGGATCCTCTGCCGCCTGTGTTCTCAGGTACTCCAAAGGGCAGTGGGGCTGGCTATGGTGTTGGCTTTGACCTGGAAGAATTCTTAAACCAGTCTTTCGACATGGGTGTGGCTGACGGGCCACAGGACGGGTAAGATGGCTGGACTGAGCTTCTGGAATTGGGCTGTGGCAGGGTCCTTGGATGGCTGCCTTTCTGGCTCAGGCTGAAAAGGGGATCAGGATCATCCTGATCCCCTTTCCTTGCAGCCAGGCAGACTCTGCCTCCCTCTCAGCCTCCCTCCTTGCTGACTGGCTTGAGGGCCACGGCATGAACCCTGCTGACATCGAGTCTCTGCAGCGTGAGATCCAGATGGACTCCCCAATGCTTCTGGCTGACCTACCAGACCTCCAGGAGCCCTGAAGTCCACAGCTTGTGCCTTGCTGCCAGGGCAGACCCAGCTCCAGGCCCAGGGGAGCAATCTAGAAGGCTGTAGCCCTGAGACTGGCAGGTGAGGCTCAGCTTGAGTTATTCTTCAGGTTCATCTCAGACCTACCTTTCAGCCTTAAGCAGCCATCTGAGCCACCACGGAGCCATAACAGGATTAGGGGAGCCCACTCCCCCTGACTAAGCAATCTTTTTCAGTATTGTATTTTTATTACTGTTTACTATTATGCAGTTGTCTTTGCCATCAAAATGAGGCCTGAGAAATACAAGGTTTCCTTTACTATCTGACTGCATGTGTCATTTTTGGAGTTGGGTCCAGGATACCATCACTACTCATATAGTGAAGGTGTAAGGAAGAGCCAGGTGCTCACATTTGTGGGGCAAGCAAATGTTTGTGTTCACAAAGCCAGTCCATCAGGTCCTGAAGGTTTATTGAGACCTCCACTCCCCACCTACTTCCAGCCCCACAGATTGTTCTCTGCTACCCTTCATGGATGAACTTCATTCCCTAGGGCATATAGGAACTGAGTTTCTCTGCCTACCTTGCCTGTGGCTACTTGAGGGTTGACGAGCTTGTAGCTTCGATGAATATGGTTTTGTCACTGAGCTTTGAGGGACTACAGCAGGCAGGTGAGGGAGCTGGGTATGTAGTGAGGTGGGGCTAGGCTCCATGGTGCTCACTATAAGGGAATGAGTTGGTGAGGGTACTCTGAGGACGGCCATAGGGAGTGCTGGGGTGTGGCAGTGGCCATGCCTGACCTGGCTGGCATATGCTACACTGCTCTGTCTAGGGTAGGCCCAGCTGGGTCTGCATTAAGGGAACTGGCTGAAGTGGAACGCAGAAGCTGCAGCTACAAGATGGCTCCGGCTGTCAGCTGTTGTGAAGGCTGGGAGCAACTTGGAGTTTTCATGGAATCCAGCGAGATCCAGGCTGGGATGGCTGTGCCACAGAAAAGGCCTGGAGGGCTGCTGACAGCCTTGCATCTGGTGGAAGGCTGCAGGACCTGGCTTAGGAATGTTAGTCCAGATATGGTACAGAGATGTGCCAGGGGCCTTGCTGGTGCTCAGGAAGCAGCAGAAAGAAGCAACAGAAGCAGTGTCTTGCGGGGTAGGGTATAGAGGGAGCACTCAGGGAGAGGGATGGGGCCTGCCTGGGCCAGCCCCTCAGGCCCTACGAATCTTCATCTCTGTACGCTTGAGGGAGTAGTAGAAGCCCTTCCATTGAGCCCAGTTGATGCCATTGGCATAGGAAAGGTGGGAGCCGCCCAGGTAGAAGCCGTTGAGGTTGGCAAAATGGCAGCTTCGGAACCAAAAGGCCCCTGAGGAGAGGGCTGCGCAGTTCTGCACGAAGAGGTCCTGGTCCCTGTCGAATGTGGAGAACTTCTGTCCACTGTGGTAGGAAAGTGAGTCACCTGACAGGAGGGAGAAAAGATAGGATTGCTGAGGCCAGGAACGGAGCCCTGCACTGGCAAGCAGTGAGTGATAGTAGTGATGAGTGACACTGAGAGACATCATATGGTATCCTGTTAGGATGGGAGCACTCTCCCTGAGCCACAAAGAAACAGCTGCACCTCTGCAGGGCCACCCAGAGCAGGGCTGCCTGGAGCAGGGCCAGGGTAGCTGTTCCCCAAGGCTGAGCTCTAGCAGCTGGAGTTGGTCTGGAGCCAGCTGTGGCCCTTCCAAGCCCAGAAGGGTTGAAGGAGGGGCCTGAAGGGGTCGGGAGCCAGTAGGGTGGGACCAGCCCTGCATCCCCCCACCTCCCCCCACTGCCTCTGTAGAGGCTGACAGAAGGGGTACCTGCCCCGCCATCCTCGAAGCCTGCCACGTAGAGAGTGTAGCCGTCCTCCTCAGCACTGACTGCATTGGGAGAGATGGAGAAGTCAACGTACTTGGCATAGGCCGTGTTGTTCTCGAAGTCCTCCAAGTCCACTCGCAGCTCATACTTCTGCTTTAGTGTCAGGAGATGCAGATTCTGCAGCCCTGGGGAGGGGTGGCAGCTGGTCAGCAAAGACCTGGCTGAGGGGCAACCCCCACCCCCACCCTGGCCCTCCAGCCTCTGCTTACCGAGCCAGTACTCTCCATCAGCACGGCCAAAGCCCAGCTTGTAGTCGTTCCAGCCTCGGAAGAAACTCACTGAGCCATTGAATCTCTTCTGGAAAACCTGGAGTCATGAAGACAAGATTGGATAATGGAGGGGCTGATGGGGGGGCTTGCTCAGCCCTACTACCCTGGCATGGGCACTGTGATGCTGAGCCAGTTTACTGAAGGACTGAGTATGTTAAAGGGTTGCAAGATGTACTGGCTTCTGGCCCCTCATCAAGCAACTGCTGCACATGGTACCTACCTGAGAGACCGGGAGAAAGGTTAAGGGGGGATCTGAGGACTGGGGATGTAGCTCAGTGGTAAGGAACCCGTCGACCATAAGTGAGGCCCTGCATTCTGCCTCAGCACTACAGGGGAAAAAAGGGAGTAATGTGTTCTACAATACAAATAACCTGATTGAGTTCTGGTATTGATTGTGTGGCTCAAGGATAGTAACTTTACCTCTCTGGGCTTCAAATTTCCGTCTAGCAAAGGCACCTACTTGACAGGATCATTGTAAAGGCTTATATATTAACCTACTCAAGTGCTTAAGTGTTGGCAGTCCTAGGTCCAGTTCCCATTTTAAAGGGGAGGAAACCGACTTACAGAGGTGCCACACAGGATCACATAGCTGAGATCAGAACCAGATCTGGCCTCTGGTCCCTCTGCTTACTCACCGTCCACTTGCCACCCTCAGTTGTCATGTCACAGAAGACAGGCACTGGCACGCTGGGGCCCGAGGGGTAAATGAGGTACACACCATCTGCCTGATAGCCCTGGGCATAGATGTCGTCACAGTCTAGGGGCTGCTGAAGGCAAGACTTTTCCAGAGCTGGGGGGAGGGGGGACATGAGGAAAGAGACTAAGGCATAAGGGACAACTCAGCACCCCACAGTTTGTCCCTGGGGCTACAGGACCCTGTCATGAAAAATCTGGAGATTAAGGGGCTTCCTAGAGATAGAGCCTTTCATCCACCTGCTGATTTGTGGAAGAGTAAACCATGCCCTGCAGAGCCTGCCTCAGAATGGCCTCCACTGGCCTCCAGGCTGTGCCTGCAAATGGGGGCTGCTTACCATCTCCCCGGATCCCGGAGGCCTGTGGGGCGCAGGGAGGTGTGGAGAGCAGCAGCAGCAGGGGCAGAGCCAGGAGGGCCTGGTGATGGGAAGCAGGCTTAGCATAGCCCGTGACTTGGGCTGCCCGCCCCCCACCATCCGGCAACTTTCCCTGTCTGAAACCCTTCCCTCCGTCCCCTCTTCTTTCCCCACTCTCTGGGAAAGGCTCAATATCCCCAGAACTTAAATGTCAAAAGAACCCCTCCATGCTTCTCTGTCCCCTCTCTGGCAAGTGGCTTGTCTCCACAAATAGTCTTACTCCCCTCCCCCCTACCACCACCAAGCCAGGAGTTCTCCACTCTGGGCCAGTACCTTCATGTTGTCGGCTCAGCTCAGAGAGGCAGGATGTCTGGGGCCTCAGACTGCAGCTGCCCACAGTTATATGTTGGGCCTTCGCCCACAGCCCCAGCCCCGCCCCTGAAACTACAGAACCCCCCCTCCACACACAACCAGCTCCCAGCATCAGCTTACACTGTCTGGGGCCAGGGGATCATATGGGTCTCATTAGGCCTGTCAGGGAAGCACTGTAGACCAGACATAACTCCCTGCCGGCTGTGATTGCTCCCTCAACCTTATTCTGCCACCCGCCCTGCTGGATCTGTGGGTCTCCTGGCTCCCCTAGCCGGCCTCTGCCCACCCTCTGCTTCCTGATCTGCCCTCTGCAAGTGTCTTTTCTTTCCCACTCCTGTCCTGGTCTGTGTTTCATCAGCCATTTGGGGAGGGTAGGGGAGGAGGGGTACCTGGGTCCAGAGGGGGATTCGGGGGGTGGGTACTTGGAATGGAAAGACGAGGGGCAGCCCCAAGCTCCTGATGTGGGAGCTGCCTGAGCTGGTGGGAGACAGGGCCAGCAGGGGCCAGGCAGTCTTCTGGCAGGCCTGGGACATTTCTGGGCCATGAGCACAAGGCAGCAGGCAGCCAACTGCTCTGTCTGCCTCAACTGGAGCCAGGGCCTTTCTAGCCCTTTCCTGGCCCCCCTCCCCTACTGGGTGTCTGCACCCCTCCACCCCTCCACCTCCCCCTCTCCCAGTTCCCTGGCCCATCTGAGCTGCTTTTGTTTCTTCTTGCCCCGCCCCTCCTCCCTTCTAAGCCCATCTGTTCCCCCACTCCCCTGTCTACATCCCCTACTCCTTTCCTCTGCTGGGACTGAGCCCACTTCTTGACCCTCATCAGGCCTGGTCTCTGCCTCCTGTCACCCTTACCATCCAGCCGCTCCAGCTTTTGGTGCTCCCTCCTTCCACCATCTGCACATCAGAAGAGCCATCCTAGGTTCCTGGTCTGTGTTCCCCTGTTTAAGCCTCCAGTGGCCTAAGACTCGAAAGGAATTTCCGGCGTGGCTCAGGCCTACCTTCAAGACCAAATTCCTTACTGCCTGAAAACCCCAAGCTATGTTCAGCCACCCCAGACTGCTGGCAGCTGTGTCCTGGCTTTTGCCTGAACTGGTCCCTGAAGTGCTCACTAGGCTTTCTTTTTCTTGGCCCCGAGTGCCAGCGGGCTGCATCTGTATCTGTCCTTTTTGCATGCCTAGCACATAGTAGGCCCATACATACATTCACTCAGAACAGGCTTATTTTTTAGTACCTACTATGTGCTATACTTTATGCTGGCTACTGTTGATGCAGAATCTTGCTCCCTAGAGTGACAAACACAGGTTTTGGACAGTGAATCACAAATATGTGTAGTTTGAAAAAAGACATGATTGAATGTGTGATTATGTGACATGTTCAGAATGGAGAGACAGCCCTGATTTACATCCTCTCTCTCTACCCCAGAGAAAGGAGATAGGCTGAAGCCTGAGGAAGAACCCCATTCAGCTTTCTTGACATGGCTGTGTAGCTGCTGGTTAGAGAGACCTATGTTCATAGTTGTGTTGAGATCTGGGGATTAGAGTCAGCTGCCAGTTTTAAAACCAGGGTCTGCCACCTGTTAAGTAGGGAAAACCAGCACAGATCCCTCTGTGCCTCAGTTTCCTCTGAGACATGAGGATGATCAGCTCTGCTTCATGGAGGTATAGGATTGTTACCTAGCAAGTGCCAGGAATAATCTTATAATTATCGGGAATAATCAAAAGGAAAAATCTTAAACTAATTAAACTCAATGAAGTCTATTTGAGGAATTTATAAACAAAGCAGAACAAAGCAACACAAAACAAAAATTATTTGTGCATTGGGCAGTACCCAGAACCAAGATTCAGACAACTCCCCCTAATATTATCTGACAGTGCTTATAGGAAACACATGTGTGTGTGTGGAGACTGCTTAATTGCTTACAGCTTCGTTGGCTAATTGGTTTCAGAGCCCCTGTAGTCGTCTGAAGTCAGAAACTGCAGCTCTGAGCTTCAGTGTAGGAGCTGAAGTGCCACCAATGGTCCCCCACAAATACTGTCTGGTGGACTGTAGTAATTATTTAGCAAAGATTAGCTCATCATCACAAATACCATGATTATTCTCACATAAGTGGATTGTCTTTAACAGTTTTCACCCTTGTCTGTGGAAGAGCGTTAGCTGCTGGCTCTAATCAGTTTTCTCTTCATCCTGAGAAGGAAGATCCAGATTTTTAGTTGGCTCATTGGCCAGCCTCCCTTGTGGCTGGTGAGGTCACATGTCTGGATTTTGGCCAATTAGATGCCTCCTTAAGTGAGATTGTTGGAGTCCTAGCAGTCTCCTTGGACATCTGGATGAGGTCTCAAGGGGGGGGTGGGGGGGGAGAGCAAGAGAAGTGTGGCTCCTCCCTGCTTCGTGGAGCAGGTCCAAGGCTATGCTACCCTTCCTTAGGCCTTCAGTGGAAGAGAAAGAAACTTCTGTCCAGTTTATGCCTCTGGGCTATTCCAGTGTCACAGCAACTAATACTAATCTCTTCTTTCAGCAAGCCAATTTTAGCACAAGGTTACAAAAATGAAAATAATGACAAAATCAATCATCAGAACAAAATATGTCCAAAGTTAACTTTATTTGTCCAATCATCAGAGACTTGTGGAGGATAAACTAACAAATATAGGAACAATCAAAGAAAAAGAGGAACAAATAAAACATCATAGTTTTATTAAATCAGCTGTTTTGATGATAATGTGCATAGCCAGTGACCAGCAGGCACTCTGCTGCCTGGCATGCTTCCAAATGAATGTCAGGAATGGGCTTTATGAATTAGTTTCAGCTCTTTTTGGAAAGAAATGTGGCAGTACACACCCAGGGTCAATAATCTTTTCTCTGAAGATCCTGTCTGAAAAATTGCCCCAGCAGCTGGCAGTTTGCCAGTGTCCCTGTGGATGGCCCCACCCATGTGCATATGGGCTAATTGGACTCAGAAAGTTATTAATGACAATTTAAAAAGAGGACACGGGGCTGGAGAGATGGCTCAGTGGTTTAGAGCACTGACTGCTCTTGCAGAGGACAATGGTTCGATCCCCAGCACCCACATGGTGGCTGTGAACCATCCTTACCTCCAATTCCGGGGGAATCCGAAGCCCTCTTCTGACCTCTGCGGCAATGCACGACACAGAGTGCACTCATTTACATGCAGGCAATACACTTATACACATAAAATAAAGTAATAAAATATTTAAAAAAAAAAAGAGGACATGAAGTTGGGAGATGCGGGGGCGGGGGGGGGGGGGTACCAGGGGAGTTGGAGGGAGGTAGTGGTGGATGGATATGATCAATATACATTGTATACATACATGTATGAAGTGTTCAGCTGGGTATGGTGGTGTATACCTTTAATCACAGCACTTAGGAGGCAGAGGAAGGTGGAGCTCTGTGAGTTCGAAGTCAGCCTGGTCTACATAGCGAGTTTCAAGCCAGCTGGGGCTACAGGGAGACCCTTCTCAATAAAAAAAAAAGAAGAAGTATGAAATGTTCAATGAATATATTATAAGCCCAGCATGGTGGCACATACCTTTAATCCCAGCATTCAGGAGGCAGTGGCAGGTGATCTCTGTGAGTTTGAGGCCAGCCTGGTCTACATAGTGAGTTCCAGGCTGGCCAGAGCTACATAGTGAGACCCTGTCTCAGAAAAATTTATGAAGAACCCCCCAAGAAATGTCAAGTGCAAAAGAAAAAAAAGAAAAAGAAAAGAAATGTATTACTCCAGGACATTGAAGGTCAGGTACATAGTGAGTTGCTGTCACTTGTTACCTGCCTAGCATGGCAGACCTACTCCCAAATTTGGGGGGGGGTCCTCCTCCTGAGTAGAGCTGGGTGCTCCCTTCCCCATGAATCCTTGTCATCCTGAACAGGCATGTGACATCCTGGAGTGGGAAGTGTGATGCCCTGGAGATGATGACTTGAGAAGCAGCAGTGGGGTTTTTTTTTTTGCGTTGGTTTTTTTTTTTTTTTTTTTGAGACAGGTTCTCCATGTAGCCCCTGTTGGACTGGTACTTGCTATGTAGACCAGGCTGGTGTCAAACTCACAGAGATGGGCCTGTCTCTGCCTCCCAATGCTGGGATTAAAGGCGAGTGCCCTTACGCCTGGTGTAGGAACACTGTCAGTTCGTACTGTTATTTCCTAGGTTGTTGGGTCCTTTCAGATAGTCCTTGCCTCTGCCTGTATCTTCGATTGCTTTCCCCTAGCAGTTTCAAGGTTTCAGGCTTAAAGCTTGTGATCCATTTTGAACTTTGTACAGGGTAAGATAGGGCTCTGGTTTCTTCTAGATTCAGATGTACAGTTTTCCCAGCACCATTTGTTGGAAAGGCACCTTTGTCAAAAACTAAGGTGGCAGTAGTTGTGTGGGTTTATTTCAGACTCATCTGTTTAACTACATTAGTCTATGCATCTGATTTGTGTCAGGATGTACTGCTTCTGTCACTATGGCTCTAGTGTAATTTGGAACCAGGTTTTATAGCTCTAGCCCTGCTCTTTTCTGCTTAGGATTGCTTTGGCTGTCTGGGGTCTTTTGTGCCTCTATATGAATTTTAGAATTTTGTCTTCTATTTCTGTGAAGAATGTAATAAGAATTTTGATGGCAAGTACATTGAATCTGTAGATCCCTTTTGGTAACACAGCCTTTTAAACAACATTAATTCTGCTGATCCATGATCTTGGGAGGTCTTTCCATTTCTGAATCTCTTCTATTTTTCTAAATATTAAAGTTTTTATCATAGAGATGTTTCACCTCCTTAGTTAGAGTTATTCCTGTTAGATTTAGGAGAGCAGAAAAAAGAAGGCAATAGGCAAGGGATGTGCTCCCTGGATTCTGAAAGCACAGCAAAGGGCTGATAGCTTTTCCTCAAGGAATGATTATCTATACCCTGAAGAAGGAGCAGTCTGGTCTTATATAGGAACTCTGCTGCACACAGCTATGAGAGTTAACTCCATGCCAGGGTCTGGGGTCCTTGAAGGTCTCTTTTCTGAAGATTATTTGCTCAGGCCAGTGGGTGAGTTATCTATGTCCCTAAAGGAGACAGGTGGGCTCCACAAACAGTCTCTCTGTCGAGGGAGAAACCAGTAGGTAAGACTTGACAAGGC